ATTATCTTCAATATGTGTTGCTGGTATTGATGTAATACAAGTTTGTGCGGTAGTTTCTTTAATGAAATCATTCGGTAAATTTTCGACTATTTGTTGCGTATGATCAATCAATGGAAAATGAATAGTAGATACTGTAGCTCTAATCTGACGAACTATATCGGCAAGAAAATCTGACGGCAGTTCTACATTTTCATCTTCATTGACATATGGTTTTTGAATTATTTCTTTTTCTGATATTATCATTGTTGCTAATTGCGTAGACATAGTTTTCGGTTGTTTATCGATTTCAATATTCAAATTATTAGATGATATTTTGTCTATTTTTTCTTCACTATTTGTAGTAATATCAGTTTTGATTTTATCTGCTCGTTGATGACTAGCAGGATAATTAGATGATATTGTTGTTTGTTCTGGAAATGTCTGTTTAGTATCATAAAATGGTTCTTGTAGAGTTTCAATAACCGATGAAATAATATTTGAGTCTAATTGATTTTTATTTTCACATATATTTTCCATTGAATCATATTTAATTTTTGATATTTTTGTTAATGGAATATTTTTAATTTGTTGAATAATTTCTACAAGTGAATTAATTGATGGTTGATCTACTTTCTTTTCAAATGATTGAATTGTTTCTGATTTGATATTGATTGGTGTAGTAAAAATTTCATGAACAATTTGAATTAAAGCATTTGATGATAAATTTTCAGATTTATTTTCTTGTAATATATTATCGATTGTCGATAAATGATCTTTTAAAATTGATTTTTGTTCTTCATTGATAATTGTAGATTCTAATAATGGATTAGTTTCATCAGTAGTTTTACTATGAGAACTAAGGAATGATTTGTTACTTTGAGCATTTATTTCGATTGTAGGATTAGTTAATGAAAGACATTTAGGTTCACGTTCTTTTATTTCTTCTTCAATTGATAATTGAAGTTCTTCAAACATTGCTTTTTGTTTATCAGTTAAAATATTGATTGATTCTGGAATTTGTGTACTAAAAATGATAAAAATAAAGATATAAAATTCTTCAAAATAAAAATAAAAATTCACCTTGTATCATCATGAATATTTTCTTGTTGTGCTGTTAGATTTATTTTAACATTATCTGATGGAGATCGAAAATTGAATGGTGTAGTAAGAATTTCATCATCTTGTTTAGTTAATACTTTTGATGATAAATGTTCAATTTCGTTTGATTTCGTTCTATCTTTAGAAATTATTTCTTGTTTAGTTTCTGAAATGTTAGATTTCGATAGTATATTTTCATGATTAATATAAGAATTTGTTAATGGTTTGTCAATATTTTTTAGTTCTTCAAATTTCATGTTCGCTTGAAAGGTTTCAACATCTGAGTCATTGTATTTGTTGATTGACATGTTTTGACTTCAAAATAAAAATTAGAAAAATCGATTAATTTTGATGTATTAAAGAAGTTTAATGACTTACTTTGTCGGACAAATTAAAGATTGATCATTGTCATCGATTGAATTTGATATTAAATGGGATAGTAATATTTTTAAAAATGATAATAAATCATCGTCGAAATAATGTTTGATTTCTTGTTCAATTGCTATCAATGATTGATGATTATTTTCAATAGAAGATATAAATTTTGTATCGATTGATGTTTGATTTTGATTTGATTGTATTTCATCATGATTTAAAATTTGTTTTTGTATGATCATTTTCTAAATGATTTTTATAAATTGAGATTTTATTCGAATTAAATAATAGAAAAATTTACTTTTTGTTCGTTTATGATATTTTGTTGATCAGATTTTAATATTTTTTTATTTTCTTTATTGATTGATGATTCTATTGTTGAAATGATTTCATGTTCATCAAATGGAATATGAATATTATTCATTAAGATTGAATATGATGAACGAGATTCTTTGTTATCTTTTTTTTCGTCTTCTATTCTTTGTGAAATAAGATTATTTTGATATTCTGGTTGTTTGTTTGACTTTGAAGTTTCTAATACATTTTCTTTATTTCCAAAAAATGATGTCTCATTAGCAATAGTATCAATATTAGAATGATCAGTACCTGTAGTAAAATATAATAAATAATTTTTTTTTTCTTTTCTAATTGATAAACAATTATAATATTTACGAAGTTAAAAGAAAAAAAATCTGATTTTTTTTGATTGCTATCATTCTGTGTAGTTGTAGAAAAAAAAAAAAGAAAAACTAATTAAATTTACATAAAATAACAATTGGTAGGTAATATACAATATAAATCTTAATTAATGAGCTCAGAAGGACATTTTTGTTGTATGTTCAAGAAAAAATTAACATTAAAAAAAAAACAACAAGAAAACTTTGTATATAATTTTCAAATAAAATTGATTATTGATTTTTTTGATAAAGTTATAAATTTTTTGTTCAAGGTTAATTGTCAGTAATAATTATTCTATATTCAATTAACAAGTGAAATACATAATCATTCTCTCTTTCTTTTTTTTCTGGTGTTATTATAATAAATTTTTTTTTGAAAAATTATTATATTCTCTCACAATATATTTGTTGAATTTATTTTCTTTTTAAGTGACTAAACTTTTGACATACTAAACAATTCATTCTACTTTGTTGCTTGAAATCGGATTAATACTTAATAATGTTTCCTTCATAGAGATCACAATCGAAACGTACATGTATATATATATATATATGTATAAAGTCTTAACATTTAACAATGTACAATACATATACTAATCTTATTTGAATTAGAAAACCTTGAAAACGTACTTGAACAGTTATTTTATATCGATTTTCGTTTACATTCTAAGCTTCACACAATACAACTACTATTCTATGATCATGTTCATTCAGCACAATTGAATCCTACTGTGTCAGAAGAATTTCTTTTTTTTGTTCTTTTAAATATTACAAAACTCAAACTAGTAACATACCATTATTAATTGTCGGGATAGTTTTATAAGTTTGTTTTAAATCATTTGTAGTAATTATATTTTCCGTTGCATGATCAATATTTGTGAATTCGTCATAATCATCACCGGATAAATCATTGTCAAAATTCCTGGTAGTTTGAATGATTGAATCAATTTTAATTGATAAATTGTGCATGTCATCAAGTAATTGTATTGCTCGGTTATCTATATCAACTGTATGAATATCATGTATTTGATATTTACGTTTGATGCGTCGTTTTTTAATTTTACGAAAATTTCGAGATTCTAAATGTGAATGATGAATTTCTCTAGTTGATTTAATTTCATTATTTGAATATGTAATTTCATATGAAATTTCTTCTGTAATTGTTGGTTCAAGTTCTTCAAATTCTACATAATCTTCAATGATAAATTCTCCGTCTTCTTTAATAATTGCTCTTGTATCATCACCCCAACGTTCAAGTAACGTTGGATAATGATCAAGATTAATTATATCAAGAATTTCTTCATGTATTATTTCTTCAACAGAATCATCCAAATAATGTGTCTTTCGATAAGGTGATGATGATGATGATGTACGATAACGAGTTATTGATGGATATGATGGTTCATATTCTCTTGAATGACGATTCATTGAATATGTAGGATACAAATTAGTTGATAAAATATTATATGATGTATTTGTAGTATATATAGAAGGATTATTTGATAAAGAAATATTTTGATTATGATTTTTACTATTGAATGATAATGAGACACGATTCGCCATTGAATCGTTGTCGTTCGAATCGTAGTATGGTTTGCTTGCCAGCGACGTAACTGAAGCAGTATTTTTATTTATTTCCTTCGCTTTTTCTCTCTCTCTTGTTCTCTCAATCGTCGTTGTTCTCTCAACATCGCTTTTTCTCTGTTCTCTTTCACCTTTTTCTCTGTTTCTTTGATTTTTGGCTATCATCGTAAACATTTTTTTTTATCTTCATGTTCTGCTATTCAATGTTATTTCTACATATTGCTCATTACGATTATCATTGTTAGAGTTAGTAATCATTATAGCAGTTATATTAGAAGCAATATGAAAAGCGCTAGTTGACATGCCAATATAATATTACAGACACGAGAGAAAAAAAAAAGAAACGATGCTTTTGTATTTCTGTTGTTGATTCATTTACATTAATGTGATGCTGTAACTTTTTTTTTTCCCAGTAATACTTCAGTCGTTGTTTTTTTTCTCTTCGTCTTTCTCGTCAATTTTTTTTTCCTACATGCTCGATATTCTTATGAGTAGTAAGAGCATGGATCGAATGAAGAAAATACCCATTAGTATTCATGTTCTTCCTTCTTCTTCTTCTTTTTTTTTGTACTAGCGCTATTATAATATGTTGTAGTCGTTCTCATATAAAACGTTGTTGAAGCCAATTCTCTTAGTCTGTTTTTTTCCATCTTTGAAAGCTTTTCTTGCACACACGTCCTTCTTTTTTTTTTTTTTTTCTTTTTCTGATTTTCTCGTTCTGATAAGAAGTTTTCTTTTTCTTTTTCTCTTCATTATTATTGTAACTAATATTCTTGACCCATAACATGCTGTGATCGTTTTTCGTTAAAAGAAAAAAAATACTTTCTCCTTCAATTTTTTCAATCTATTGATTTTTTAAGTAATTCTTTTTTTTTGAAGTAAGAATTCTAAATGAGTCTTTAACTTCGAAAATAGACGACAAGCGAAATTTGAATTTTGTATTAGTTGTTTTTCTTTTTTTTCATATTAAATATTTTGCTGTCAGACATTGCCATCGATTATTCAATTTCATTTTTCTTCTGCGCCATTTTCTTCAATAAAGGGTTTTGAATAAGAGCGAAAAAAAAATAAATACAACGAACATATACACCAACAAGAAAGAGCATTAAAATATGAAGAGAGAGAAAGAGAGAGAGAAAGCGAGAATGTATGTGGGTTTTGATAAATAGAGAGAAATATTAGTCAAAGAATGATGTACAAATTTCATCATTACACTTGACTTCAACTATATTAATAATGCTTATAAATATAGTTTATCCAAGAAGCTATATATGTGTATGTGTTAAATCAGTTAGTTGTATTTGCAGTTGACGTAGAAGATACGATTGTAGGTGTTGATATGAATGTTGATGATTCTTCATTGTTAACAACTTCATAAAATGATTCATCAGTTGCAGGATGTTTCGAAGTAACATTTGCTGTATCATCAACATTGGTATCAGTTGAAATGATTGACAAGATTTGTTTCTGTCCATTATCATTCAACATTTTCGATGAGTTTTTATTTTCATCAGATGTATCTAAATATAGAAAGAAAAAAAAAATATATATGATTATAATTAGCTTTTTTTTTCTTTTCATATATATATATATATATATATATATATATGCAATTATTCAAAAAAACGTAACAAATGTCAAAAGAAATCGTGATTGTTATCATTATTTAATCATAAATTGAATGATTTGTATTGTTATGTAAAGAAACAAATACGTTTCATCGTCACATATATTATTTAAACAAAAAAAACAAAGAAAAATAAGACATTTTACGTAATTTTTAATTATTAGGATAAAAATAAAACAAATCCACAAGTGGTCATTACAACTGACACGAAAGTTTTTGATTACGTATATGGCAATTGGTTTTACGCTTCAATGCTTTTTCTTTTTTGATATATACTTCATTATTTCTTTTGACAATACTATCATTTATTTTAGTATCTAGATATAAAGATATATAAGTATATATATTTAAGAGTCTTTGTGAACAAGGACAACAGTTGACTAGTGTAATATATTTTCATCTGAAGTTCTTTTATGTAATAAGCACTTCATCAATGACATAATCAATTGTAGTAACTATTCTTTATCATGATAAATAGACTATTTTAGATATCAATATGTTGAATTCTATTTGTCAATAATCTTCTTTTATTCATGTATTCATAATTTCTAATAATAAAAAATAGGTTATACTATGGAAAGATACTGAATCCTATACAAAAAAAAAAAAAAAGATGTATACATATACATATATATTTAATACAATGAAATACGATATTTTCTATGCATAGTATAAAATTGTTAATGAAAATGGTATGTGTTATGCTTCGTTATATATTCTCTATTGAATAAATAGCAATGAGCGCTATTGGTGATAACT